AGTTGAGCCTCCCACCGAAATCTTTGGCTAAGTAAGGTAAGGAAGGGGTTATCTTTGCTACTTGTTTTCTGTTAACCTCTATGTCATCCAGCAGGAACATGAGTTACCTGATGTTCATTTTTCCTGAGAAGCTTGGAAATTAGGTATTTTTTCTTTATTTACATAATTTCTCCTTGACTGGCCGAGTATGTAACTGCTTGCTGCATACTTGCTTGTTCATTTAGAACCCAACAAGTGTTGGGTTGTTTTTGGTTTTCCTTTATGCTTTTTCCCCCCCCAGAGACAGCACTGAAGCATTCACTTTGGACAGTGAAAGCTCTCCCCACCAAGTTTCACCCTGCCAAATATCTTCATGGGCTTTGCAAACAAGAAAAATAAGCTTAATTTGATCCAGTTCTCCCCTCAAGCCATATTTTCTCTCCAGAGAGGTTTAGAGCGGTGCCACGTCTGTGCTCTCCTGTGCTGCACACATCATCCAGCTGATGTCCAAATGTGATGGAAACTCCAGATAAGTAAAGTACTGGCAGATGTCAGAGGATGGTGCTTGAAAAGTGATGAGTGGTTTGGATTTTTTTAAGAGGCCTGACTGCATGGAAAGAAAAGCAGGAGAGCATGGAGACAAAAGTAGCTGAAATAGAGTAATTCAAAGGCCCATAAAGTAACAGTGATACAGAGCAGAGTTCTGTGGACAGGAGAGCAGCTGTCATCTCCACATGGGACAGCCTCAGCTGAAGATGTCCTTCTGAACACCACAGCTCCCATGGCACAAATTTACCTACAAGCCAAGCTTTTGTTCTATCTGCTGCTCAGGGTGGAATTCTGTAAGCAGCTTTGTACCGTTTGAAGGCACTGCTGGCCCATGTGGGCACCTGAGGGTGCTGTTGCACCGCCTGCACCTTGCCCTGACAGCTGCACCAGAAGCTCCCACTGCTCAGGAGCAGGGCAGCTGCTTTGTCTCACACAGACCAGCTTGACTGTGTGACCAGGGCACGCTGCTGCTTTTGGGCTTGCTTGTCTGGGAACCTTGAGCCAAGGAGCCAAGGGGAGAAATGGAGATGAGGAAGATGATGGCAAAGCAATCCAGCCCTACACCTGTGCTAAGGGCACTGAGCTCTGAGGAAGCACTGCCAAGCAGCAGAGTGTGTTTGTGCAGGTGTGTCTGTCACATGGAGAACTGATTTTTTTCCAGGCTCCTGTTTCCTGCCTACAGATGGCATTGGATTGCAATTTGATTGCCAGTAATTACATGGACGTCACTGAAGACACACACATCCCTTCACTTAGACTGGTTTTATGAAATGCTTCCATTAAAACATAACCCATCCCTTTTGTAGAGGTCTCAGCGAAAGAAATTGGACTGTGTTCTCACATTCCCTGTACAATGTATTCTCACCAATACTTTTCTTGTTAAAGCACAGACATTACCATATGTAGCCAAGCCACTATATACTGCTGCTATGAAAGCCGTAGATCGATGTGGGGGAACAAAACCTACAATTTTATCCACATCTCACAGGATAGCCACAAACTTGTTGGCCATCAGAATGGAAATACATAGAAAGACACACAAAATAGGATTGTGAGATAGGTGAAAAGTTGCCCAGATGGAAGCAAACCAAAAAAAGCTCAATACCTAAGTTTTGATCATGTTGTGTTTCTCTACCAGCAAGGGAAAGGAACAGAATTTGGTCAGTTAAAGTAGATGGATTTTTAATTTTTGTGTAATTGGAAGCCTCTGTGTGTCAGAGGAGGGGTGCTGCTCCCAGCTGCCACTTAGAGTGAGGATGCTGGGTGTCACTGGTCTCCTCAGAGTCAGGATGCTTGCACCATCAGTTCCAAACACTGAAGAGCTTCAGCAGAGCTGTCACCCTTGCAGGAGGCCACTGAGCCTGTTTGAAGATATGTACTTATTCTTGTGAAAGCTTTCGCTCCTCTTTTCACTACACAGAGGCTTCAACTAGTAACCCACTGAAACTACTCGGGGAAGAAAGGTAACAAAAAATAGGAATATGTGATATGGACGTGCAGGAATAGAGAATGGCTCCTCTGCTGAACTTGCTTGTGCTGCTCAGTGGCTGCACATTGACTCTGGCAGCTGGCCCTGGCAGAGCCCAGCCTGCACCAGCAGCATTGTGGTGACAGATGGGGTTTGGTTGTGGGATTTTTGGATGCCTGTGTGTGTCTAGTGCAGACTGTTGGATCTGCTTTTCACTGGAGTGGTGCTGGTTAGCCCTTCAGCAGCTGAGGTATCACTTGTCCTTCCTTGCTGAGCTGCACCAGCACAGCCACAGCGCTTGGGCTCATCTGATCTGTCCCACCCCTCTGCTTTGGGAAGTCTCTCTTTCCTCACGAGCCTGGCTGGTATCCTTGACTGCCTCTGTGTGTTACACTGTCAGCCTCTGGGACAGAGGGTGATAAAATACACAGGCACCGGAAAGCTTTTTTTAAATGAATTTTTTTAAGAAACTGCATACATCAGAGACAAACAATAATTTAAATACCATGCAGTTTCAGTATGTACAAAAACTAGGACGTAGAGATCCAGTTTAATTTTTTCTAGTTATTTACATCATTTTCATACAGCCATAATCTGTTAAATTACAATACTGGAAGAGCACGATTGACAGCCACCACACTCACTCCTATACAAAGACAAACTATATACATACACTTGGATATCAACTGGAAAATGCAACTGGTGCAGGAGTAACTGGGACACACAGGGACGCAGGAAATGTGCCCGTCACCTCCTCTTTGTTTACAGAAGTTGTTCCAAGCTTGAGCAGACTGAACACCTGGGAAAAATAATTTGTCCCCTTTTTCTTTCCTGATTTTTTTATTAGCCTAGTCATCTCCCATGGCTATTTGTACAAAGATATTTTATTTGCAGGCACGTTGGGGAGCTCCCATTCATATATAACTATGGGTTTCCACCTTGCCCATCTATTTTTTATGAGTGCAAGCTTCACTAGGCATGCTGGAAGTGCTCCCCCCTCTCTTGGTTTATAGTGATTGCACTGCACAGGTGGTGCTGTAGAAATAAGAAAGGGTGAGTTGGGTGAGTAGCTGCAGTGATGACAGAATGCAGTGGTTATACATGTGTTAGGATGAGATATATTTGTGTAATGGCTTCAGTAAAAGGTTTCAGTTAACATAAAATAGCTAAAAGTCTATTATGTTCTTTCCTCTACCTCTTCCTTCTCTTCTGATAACACCCAGTGTGTTCACTAGGAATTACCTAGACACAAAAGCTGGCCTGAGCCCCTTCCCAGCAAACCTGCAGCCTGAAACTTCTTCAGCCTGCAAGTACCCACCCAGTGGGGTGTAGGGTGGGAAAGCCAAGAAGTCCACATTCCCTCCAAACCAGAATGGTGTCACCAGGTCCCTGCAACCCTCTGCTGATGGAGGTGTGGGTAGGAGGGTGATGCCACTACTGGGCTTCCTCACCATGACTTTTCCCAAACAATCAAAACTTTTTTGTCTAGATGTTTGGAACTGCTTTGTCAATCCCCACCACCTCCCCAGCCACCCCTTAGTCCCCACTTCATTATTCCACAGGCTGCTGAACAGATGTTGCAATACTTGCACACTTCAAGTATTCAGGATTCGGTATATTATAACAAAAATGCTTCTATTACTTTAGGTTATTATCTTTGGAGATGGATGACTGCAATAGTAATTTTTGTTCTGTTGATTTTTCCTTTCTCTAAACCTGGTGTAGTTTCTTTATTACCACTAATCTCCTTCCAATCAGAATGAGGATGACTGCTAACACAGTCTTAGCAGGAATGCCATCATTATGTTCTACACATAATCCAGGTCAAAGGAGAGAAATCATGACTGTTTGTTGTTTGGTTTTTTTTTCTGTACTGCCAAGAGAATCACAGCTCTTTTGCCATGACAGGGATGGCTTTCACAGATGAGGAAACAATTCTCAAGAAACCAGATTTATAAAAAAAGGGGCCAGCAATTCCCAAGTCTGTGTGCAACCTCCCAGGGATGCCAGAGGTGGGTGTGCACGCTGAGGATGCAGAGGTGGGTGTGCACGCTGAGGATGCGGTGCCATGTTCAGGCCCTGAAAGGCTGCTGTGGAATGCCTTGATGAAGGTTAACTTACAACAAACTACCCAGACCAACTGAAGCTAAAAGCAGATGAAGTGTCATTTTGGTGATACTGCAGTGCCAAACACCTTGTATGGCTTCTTTTTCCTCCCCTTCCCCTTTTTTAGGAATAAACTCTATTTCCAGCTGGGGAGAACAGACACCTGCCATGGGCTCATCTGGATGATGGTGCTGGGAAATATTTGGCCATCACCCAGAATTGGCTGTTATGTGTCTCAGCCAGTGCTCAAGGGTTTATTTTGCGTGCCAGACTGGCAGTGTGGGCACTGCTTGGGGCTGTGCCCATGAGGGACAGTGGCAGTGCTCAGACTCCTCATGCCCCTGGGGACTCCAGCACTAACAATGGACAGACAGCAGCAGCCTGCAACTTCCACCTCCCTCCTCTTAATATTTTTAATAAAAATGAAACAAATCCTCACCTTTCCCTCCCACTAGCCTCCCAAGTCCTGTGATTCCTGTCACCACTGCTCCTTAAATGGTGTCCCTTCCATTTCACAGCGATCCTCTAAAGTAGTGATGCCAGGGCATGTGTGAGATCCATGCTGGGAACACAAGGATTTGTTGTCCTTCAGAGCAGCTCTGTTGCAGAGCCCTTTGCTAATGCAGTGTCTGTGCAGTCAAAACCATAAAGGCTTCTTTTCCTTGTTTTAAAGCAGTGATGCAGTCTTGTAACTTGTGTGCATGTGTATGTGAATGAATCGATAAAAACGAACTGAGGTTTTTCATGAAGATAACCCCAATAAGGTACCTGGCTGGTACATTAAGTGCTCTGCCTCTGCTGCACTGAGCTGTTAACTTTGCACATTGAAGGCTTTCACTACTGATGAACTTCTATCTAAAGCAAGTGTGAGCTGGTGACACAGGGATCACGGTGTGTTTCCTCAGAAATCATCACCCAGTCTGGGAAGCACCAGAAACCTCCTGTTTATTACTTTCCTTTGGTGTTCCATCCTACAGCAGCCAATCCTAATTTAATAGCCAATAATCCACAGCATTGCAAGGATGGCCATGGATGAGAATGAAAAGCTTTTGCTTATCTCTGATGGAGAGACAATCTGCGAGGCAACGAGTGCCAGCACCAAGCGTAGATGGAAGGTGTTACCCTCGCTGCCAGGGTTGTTGGGGCAGGCTGGGTGCTAGAGCCACTCCATGGGCTACCTGCACGTCCTTTGGCCGTACTCCTGCATCCAGAGGAGTGAGGTGAGGCCTGAGAAGAGGCAGGAGTGTTGGCACTACACTGCACTGGCCATTAAGTGCTCAAGTGTGAGAGGCTGCTCAGCCTGCAATCAGTGAATGGCGATGTTAGCATGGAACAGGGGGAGCTGGAGAGGGAGCACAGAAGAGAGGATAGATACATGGAAGACAGTGAGAAAGGAAAAAATCAGTAAAAGAATAACAGAAATAATTATTCTGTAGTAAAAAACTTTGGCCTCTCTGTTCAAACTGTCAAAGGAAAATAGCTATTGTGGAAGAAAGGGTGTCCTGAAATAATAATCTGGAACTTCTTACAGTACTGTTGCTACAGTGCTTTCAGACACTGTCCCACAACATGGCATAATAGTGTCTTGTAAGAGCTTGAAAGGAATCCTGACAATGTCTGCCCCAGCTTGCTGGCATTATAGTAGTTAAGGACTTAATTCTGGAAGGTGATGGCCTAAGTTCAGAAAAGCACTTAATTGTGTTCATGTTCAATTAAGCCTGTCAGACATATTCTTGAAAGCGGTGAGGCTGCGTGTGCTTCCTTACTGTAGAGCACACGCTTAAGTTGGCAGGTAAACCAGGCCCAGAGTGACCAGCTCTCTGAGCTCTGCTTGGTCAGTTTGTGTGTTAAACCACTATCATAAAAATAAATTAAAAACAAAATTAGAACAAATAAATTCAGAACACCTCTGAATTGCTGTCCTCATGCCTCAGCCGTGGGTACCAGTGACAAGTCCCACCATCCGTAAGAATGCCCCAGACTCCTTTTGTTAGGCCAGGTAACACACTTCGTCATGCTTTGCACAGTGTGAGTTTAGGATCAGTTCTTGAGACACCTGATACAGAGACATTAGATATCCTTCATGGAACCTCCAGCCCCTCCTGTTGCGTGTCCCTCTGCAGAGCTGGAGGGGAATCCCAGCCTTTCCTGCTGCCGGGGGCACAATGGCTCTCACAGAGTCACGAGGTTTGGGTGTAAGACAAACTACAAGTGGAGCAGATGGCATGCAGTGACCATGAAGAGATGGGCTTTTGCTTGCTGGTCCTCAGCATTCTTGTCATTTACTGCTAATGGGCTCACAACCGGGTTTAAAAAATTATGCTTGAAAGAGATGGGAAACAAACAGTTGCTAGAGTTGAAGCAGCCTTCAGTAGGGAGTCCTGTTCTTCAGCGGTGGTACCTTTTTCTGCTTGGAAGCTGAACAATGTCTACTGACTGGCTGTAAACTTCTCCAGGGGAAGAAATGTCTTTCTAGTCAGATGATATTCACAGATGGGCTGGCCCGTGGAGAGTTCTGCTCCTTCACTGTCCTCATAAGGTGCTCTCAACTTGAAAGGAGTGTTTGGGGTAAGTGCTTTAGTGCCATAGGGGCTCATCTTTTGGAGACTTCACCCAGGCCAAGTGATTCCCTGAACACCATCTCAGGGCTCTCTAGGGTTGATGACAGAGGCTTGTCAGGATGAGGGGTGCCTGAAGCCAACAATGGTTGCACCACCAGCTGGGCTTGAACACATATGGCAAATCCACATGCCGGGAAAGTCCTATACATAGATGCCAAGTCTTGGCACGATTTCCCACCAGGGGTATTTTCTGTTACTGAAGCTTGAACCAGCAGGTCTGATGATGTTGCAGTACTCATCACATGTAAATACAATTCTCCTTTTTTTTAATATTTATTTTTCTACTCTTTTTTTTTTTTTTTTTTTTTTTAAAAAGGCAGTTCGGAAGATTTACATTGTACGTAACAGGGAAGTGAATAATACCAGCACTTATGGTTCCTTTTAGTTATGTTTTGAAGATGGCATAGTAGTCAGGTAGAATTGATCTGCTACGGTCTATGAAACCTAAAACCCAAGGGGGGGAAAAAAAAGCGAAACAGTAAGATAATATCCTCACATGTATATTGCACATAAAAAAAAATAGGAGAACTAATTGTTACAGTGACACCATTAGGCAGTTCGATTCCTGCAGCATCAGCCAGGCTGACAAGAGGAGCCAAAACAGACAGACACTCACACTTCTTGGCCCTTGCCAGACTCAGAGTTCATAGGCACAAGCTGTTTGCACCAAAATCTAGCAGAGACATTCATACACTTCGGTACATACATACGTACAGATGTACATACATACAGATCCTATGGGATCTCTGAGTGGGTGATAGCAGATCAGCTCTCCCTCTTCCAGGCCATACAAGGCCTGACTCCACAAAAATTGTCTGGTTTAGACAAACCTTATGCTATTTTGCCAGAAAGATTTACATACAGTTTAACCGTGATTATTCTTTAATGCTGGAAGCTAAAGAGACAAATGGAGCTAAAATGACCACCCTTCCTGCAAGGCACCCTGTGTCAGGCCTGGGTTTGTCAGTTCTGCAAATACATGTTTTTAAAGCTTTGATTTTTCACTCTATTATGAATTAATTAATGTGTCCCACTAGTAAAGTGACACTCACACTCTTTGCTCTTGCAGCTGCTTAATGACATGAAGAGCTCATTACCTTGCTAATGACTTTATAACGGTGATTTATCTAAGTTTATTTAAGGGAATTACTCTCTTTTGTTGAAGCATGTTTCTTTCAAGTGTGTATTTCCCAAAGCCACTTGTCAAACCAATAAGTCCTGCTGTTCTTCAGACAAACCCTTATTCCAGTGCCTGTTGTATGAGCTGTGGCTCTCTGCATGCCTCACCCAGACTTGAGTCCATGCTGCTTAGTGGCTTTCAGGTACAAACTTTAAAGGGTCACTGCCCACTCCAGCACTGGAAGAGGAGGAAAATACTGCACAGAAACCTGTGAAAGCCAAGCAACCAGAGAGACTTCTGGAAAATGAAACCAGTTTCATTGCGGGATGCTAAAGGCTTTATGGAATTCAATGTAGCTCTCAATGGAGCTTGACTACTTGTAGCAACACCCCCTTTAAAGCAGCCTTGTCCTTTCTACATTTGTCAGCTTGCCCTGGAGGAGCCAAATGTCCCTCAAAGGCTCAGTCACTGGGGTCAACAGATCTAGGCCAATTGTACATCCTAAGGCTTCTCCCAGACCTTGTGGCTCAGGAGCAGCTGGCTTATCTCCAGCAGCACTCCATCACTACAAACCCCAGTGCAACCAGCCTAGCACATGCTAGGATGGAGAGGGAAATCATTTCTGCAAGGTAATATATGCATAATACATGTGGTGAATTTTAATATAATTATTAATTTATACACATAAAAATCTCCTAATACAAAATTAATTTTGCCTTAAGCTTTTCTGTATTTTTCCTAAAAGTACCGCCTGCATTTTTCATGAGCACTGAACTGATGAACACATTAATACAAGGGCAGATCAGTTTTGCACCAGATCTCACTGTCACTTGTCCTCACTACCCAACACTTGTCTTTAAAGTCTAAAGTGTTGATTTGCAAAGGACTAACTTCAGCCCTAGCCTGTCAGAGAGGAAGGTGGTTGGTTTGGGCTCATGGATAATTCATTCAGCCTCTCCCTTTAAAACTAAAAAGGAGCCCAAGGTGTAAATAATAGTGCCTCTTTACAGTGTGGATCTTGCTATGCCCCACTGTGTCATGCATGGCTAGATGTGGAGGACAAGACTGGGAGACCTGTGGGTGGGATCTGTGTGGTGTAGAACAGCTGCACACAGAGCAGGGCTTAGTGTGCACTCATTCAGACTTTGCTACGTGCTCTGCAAGGGTTCCCTGTCCTCCTCCAGACACCAACTCTTTTTTTAACTTTTGATCTCAGAAGAGCAGATAGGCAGCATGATGATTTAAAAAAAAAAAAAGAAGTTATACTTCATTAAATGGCACGTGCCTGCATAACTCCACATAATGGGGCAGCATGTGTTCATCTCTGTGAGTTGCTTTTACAGCCTGTAATTCTAAATGTTGTCTATTGGAGAAACAGCTGCTGGCTTTGTTTTTTTTGAAAACAACAGTACTCATTTATAGTCTTAAAAAATTAATCTCGTAGCTTACCTTGTTAGATGCCTACTTAATTCATGAACTTCCATTTCAGAGCTTTTAAATTCATTAAGCTCTTTTCGAATGGCTGCCTGCAAAGGACAAAGAAACTCATAAATGTATAAATGAGAGAGATCAAAATAAGTTCACTTTGTTCTCAAAACAGTATATTAAAAGTAAAGCAGAGAGATAACATTATCAGAGAGACAAAGACACACATAAAGAGTCTAAAATGTTAAAAGGAACAGAGATAAGCATGTTCTAAATCACATAAAGGGAAGAGAGAAATGCTTTGGTGGAATGGCTCAATTTGAAAACATATCACAGACCCTGCAGGTACAGAACCCAGTTCTGGCTTATTATGTAAAGGTTTACATGTACAAAATCCAAATTAGCACAAGCATAAGAAACAAAAAGAGCACTGCAGTTTGTGAAACACTGTGATCTGTTCCAGAGCTGGACTATGACTAGACTGGGCCTGATCAGATCCTGACAGACTTGTGTATGAGATGTTTTCTGCCTTTATTGGTCCTGAATTTCCTTAGATGAAGTTACCTAAAGTGACTGATCGTACTTGGGAAGGAAAGAGGGATACCTGGCTCCCTGCCCTCTACTGTGCCTGGGGCTGTGCCCCTCTGCCCTACTCCTCCCTTCTGACCCTGCTGTGCTGATCATTGAAGTGATTAGACAGATTAATCCAGCAGAAAACCTGCCACGGTGTGGTAGTATTCAGCCTCTATGGCTTGTCTGTGAGAGAAAAGAAAACCAAGGGGCACTGTCAGGAAGAGAAATATTGAAGAATAAAAACCAGAGGGGGTGACTTGGAGGGACTCAGCTGCATGGTAGAGATGGTGCTCAGCAGAAATGTCTCAAGTCCCAAGCTCAGAGTCAAAACCTCTGACAGCTCTGTGATATTTGTTGCTCATGAGTGTTTCACTCTGAGCATTTGGAGGGGATGTGCAAGGTGTCTGCTGTGGCCAAATGCTCCCATGGGTCCGAGGTGTGTGCACTGCCTTTCTTTGTGCTGCTGAAAACCTCAGCATCAGAGGTGGAAAGGGGTGCTCCAGTAAATGGTAATCACATCTCTCGGGAATTTTTCTCAGTGAAAAAGCTAAAATCAAATCTAAACTAGTATGAGTAGCACAAGCCCAAAACAGGAGTTTTGCAACATCCACTGCTCCACTCACCAGCTACCTTTGCTTTGACAAACCCTAAGTGATGGATTTTGCAAGTGTTTTTGTACAGAAAAGGCCCTTTCTGCTCCTTCTCCACAGCTTTGGTTTCTTATTTCCCTTAGAAGTTCTTGTCAGGCACTGCTTCATCCATCAGGACAGAGTGATGGCTATGCAGCAGCTCCAGGGCTGCCTTCAGCAGACCAATCTGCTACTGAAGTGACTGTGAAGGAGGCCACAGGGGCAGCTGACTCCCACAGGGACTGAGATCTATTCCCCCCTCCATCCCTCATCTGTTGGAGAGATGCAAAAATGCTCTTTTCCTTCCCTTAATAGTCAGACTTGCTAAAGACAAACTCTGACTGAAGGCAGTTCCCTCCACCCAGCACACAGAGCAAGATTTACTGGCAAACAGAAAAGCCCATTGCCAAAATCTGTTTTTGCAATAAATCTAGTCTGTGCTGACCAGTGAAGACAGATATTGAATCACAGCTCTGGAAGAAAATAATTCTATCTAGGATGATGCAGCTTTGTTTCAATTTTTCTGGCTATTTTTTCCAACAGTGGACATAGTGTTGAGGAAAAGGTGGTCACCTGAATGGCAGAAATCAGAATACTGCCCACAGGACACAAACAAAAACTAATATATCTGCTTCCTTATGCCATAAAGGGCACTAATATTAGAATGACAAACATCTCTTATTCTGATGGTGCTTTGCTGAGAAAAGGCTAATTTGAAGGAATTAACTTTTCTCTGGCTATTGAACTTGCACATGCATTATAAAAGACAAAGTGACATCAAAGTACTCTGCCTTAATACTAAACTCTTTACTAGGTTAAATTTAATAGTGGTATGTAATGCTTGTTCTTTTCAGACACATAGGATGAGAGATCAAATCTCCATGCCCAGCTGAAGTTTCTCCATGCCTTTCATCCCCGACAGGGATGTCTCAAAGGCTGTAGAACCAGCTGGGATATTTATTCCCTCCATCATCTAACAGTTAAGAGAATAAAGGTAAGTCAGTTGACTAATATCTTGTCAAACATGGTGATATAAAGTAAGAAAAGCTAATTTAATCCAGTATATTATGGTCTATGGATAGTCCTGAGGAAGGTTTTTTTTTGTAGATCAGTTTATGCTACATTACCTTAACCAAAGCTAAACTGAAGAAATCCCTGTATCAAGGAGGAGAACAATATCACAAAACTATACAAGTCCTTTGGTTGAATTATACAAGTAAAACAGGCTGTCCTTTGTGAATAAAACCAAGAGCATCATAGATGAGTGGTGTGGCTGGGAATTTTGCTAATGATTTAAACATTGGATGTCATGCTCTCCATTGCTGAATGAGTGAGTTCCATGGCAAAGAAATAGTCAGGGCTTGAATTCAGATATCTGAAGGTCTTTAAAATTAAAAGGGCATCATAGAGTGACTGTAAGGTTCATGACTGAATCATGGAGCCTCATAGTCCCTGCTTCTTACAATGTCCATAAAATCTTTTAAATATTTTTTTCCTGAGGTCCCATTGAGACCCTCAGTATGTGACTGATACAATTTGCCTGCAATTTAATCCCTCTGCCATCAATGTCAACACACAGAGACACTATTTAGTGGAATTTCCACCAGTGTTCAGAGGGTATTGCCATCAATACCAAACACGTGTCTTTTTTTTCATTGGCAGGTCTTGTGTGATTTCAGTTCACTTAAAATACTCTGTGGCAGAAATCCTGGGCAAAGAAGACCAAAACCAACAAACAACTAACAGGGCTGTCATCAAGACCTTTCCTTAAGGGGCTTGGGATTCCTTCCCTCTCTTGGTTTCCATGCATATAGAAACCTTCTGGCCAAGGATTTCTGCTTCAAACAAACAAACCTTGCGAATGGAAAAAAAACCCCACAGGTGTGTTGGGAAGGGATGTCAGGTGGATGTTTATTCCTTGACAGCCATGGGATCTGTGGGATCCAAGGAATGCTGTTTGCCATGACATGCTCTAGCTGTTTAGGCCATGGCTCTCCTAGAGCTGCTCCACTTACTTTGTCGGCGGCTGTAAGTCGTGTCCAGGGTTTGTCCGCCCTCCTGTCGTAGTCCTGCGCGTCTGCCACTTCCACATAGTCACTGAAGCGGATGAGGATCTTCCTCTCACGTAGCTCTTCTACTGTAGGCCTTTGACTCAGCTGCAGGTTTGAGGAAGGAGTAGAAAAAGACATCAGGACTTGGCCTTTTCCCTACAGAGTGTTACTTGGGGATTTATTTTACTGCAACTGTCGTTATGGTAGTAAGAGGGTTCGGACATTCCCAGTGCTTTGCTTTTATCTTCCTTTCACAGAATTACTATCTGGGAAAAGCCCTCTTGTTATAACACCTTGAATATAGTCTCACCTTGCTGCCAGAGCAGCCCACTGTTCTTTGGGAAGCTGCTATGGCTGGAGACCCCAATTCCCAGCAGAGGTTGATCACCCTTGGCAGAAATGAGATGTAAGGCAAGAAAGTCTCCTAGTGCACTGATATCCCAGGAAGAGACAAAGACAACTCTAAAATGACCTGCAAAGGCTGTGTGTGCACTTTCCAGCCTTCTGCTGCTGTTGTCTATACTTCTGCACTGCCTGGGAAGAGTCAGGCCAAGGCATGGAGTGGCTCCTGCTCTGAATTACATGCAAAGGGTGAAAAACAACTTTCTTTACCCTTCTGATATTCTGCAGATCTGTCCTTACCTCCAGAAAAGGCAGGTGGGATGATCAGTGCTCATTGAACTTTTAACTGTATCTATTGTCAAATGTGCTTTGTATCACAGAATATTTGACTTTTAAAAGTTTATGTTGCATGCTACAAGCCAAAAGAAATGACAGTGGTGGATTGTAGCATATCCGGAAAGCATCTTCATTGTTTCAAGCATTTCTTTCAAATTCCACAACAGAATAGGCAGCCACAGTGAAAACCTCCTCGTAAATTAGTGTGCTGGTAGTTCATGTGTTGCACAGTCAGTTACATGGGCAGGGACAGGAACTGGCTTCCAGGGATCAATTCTCCTTGGATGCACAGCATGCTGGTTAATGTCAGAAGCCATTACACAATGTTTCTGAACATTGTTTCTGAATTTAGGTGCTACATAAATGTGTGCATGTGGCTGTAGATTAACTGGAAAGTTTCACTGTTAGAGTGGAACATCTGTAACCAGGATACATCAGGAAAAATAATATCCTGATAACAATTTCCTACACAGTGTATTATGCTATTCCTGCTCACTAGAAATAGATATGTTAGAAATACTTTACCCTTGTGAAGGATGAAAGGTCTAAATATTTAATAAAATGCTTGAGATTCTATTCTGAAACATTATTTATGCTCCTGAATCCACCTTTCTCCCAAACTAAGTATCTCACTTCCCTGCATTTCATCTTCCAGGGAGTATTAAGATTTCAAACAGCCAGGATACTAAGTGAAGTGTGAAAAATCCCTCCTTTCTTCAGCACTTGGGTGGAGCTCCACTGCCCTATCCTGCATCTGGCTGTAAGCCTGTGTGCTTGTTCTTGGCATGGTTGGTTGTCTTTCTCTTCTCTGTTTAGAAAAGATGATTGTGATGGGAGGCGGCAGTGGGTTGCTCTCCTTACACCAGCATCCCTGAGCATGCACACACAAGTTGGGTTCACACTCCTCATGTGGCGAGTCTGCAGAGCTGCACTAACGTCCTGCCTTTGAGAAGCACAGGGGAACAGGAACAACAATGGAAAAGAGAAGCACTGACTCTTGTGCCAGTGCTCTGGCTGTGAAAGAGTCCTGAAAATTCATAGCTGGTATCACATAGTTCATGTGTAGCCATAAATCTACATATATTTCCATATATAAATACATGCACACAAAATATATTCAGTACATTAAACCAAGGTGCCAATCTGATCATGCTAAGTGTAATGAGAGAGACAACCACACTAAGTCATTTCCCAAAAGCCATTAATTAAAGCTACATTATTTGAATGGTTAACAAATTTCCCTGCCTTCTTCTCATACCATTGCAGACATTTCTTGTGAGCTTCTAGTTGTGAGAGTCTTACAAAATGTTTGGGCCGCCCAGAGCTCCCTGAACTCTTGAATAGCTGGGGAATCAGCTTTGCAGGACAGTCTGTAAGCAGCCCCACTGCTGGTGTTAGTCCAATGTGTGTCCACACTGAGGGCCCAGCTCATCTGAGATCTCACCTTGCAGTTTATTTTTATGACCTGTGAGCTGTGTCTATCTCTTGGGTCTAAATTGCTTAATGCTACAGAGTCCTTATCGAGCAACACCTGAGAATGAGCTCTTCTAACAGGCAGAAAGAATAGGGCACATTCAAAAATTACAGGACAAGGACATGGCCAAGGGCATGATGCAATTGTCTGCAGAAGGTGTGGTGCTCCAAGCAGGGAGAAGGGGCTCTTACTGAGCTGGACCCTTTTTAACTTACTTCTGCTAATGTCAAAGGCATGCATGTGCATGAGTGTGTCTCTTTCTGTGTGCAATACCTGGGCATTTACATTTCTATTCATCTATTCGTGAAGATTTGGGAGTTGAGAGAGCAGGGTAGTTCTATGGTGAGTGACTCATTATTTGAGTGTGCACCAGGGTAAAATTCCCTTTCAAAATGGATTTGTATTAATGCAAGAGCAGTAAATGAGGACAGGACCTCTCATGCCTTGTCACAGGAGGTCAGATTTTCTTCTCTACATTCTGGAGTGCTGTAGATACAAATGGGCATTTTCCAGGCTTTGATACTAAGGCAATTTGAAAGGGAAGGTTTAACACACCCCTCTTTGTCCATGGCATGGGAAATGAAGCAAACCCAAGCACCCCACCAGGTAAAGTGGAGGGGGACTTACTCTTGCCAGTCTGGTCCTGGGATTTAGTCAAATGCAAAAGTTTGCCCCACTTCAGTCACAAGGAAGTTTATCTTAGCATGTCATCATTACCTGCTCTGTTACCTCATTAAAATGTTACAGTTGTTATTTAAAGAAGAAAACAAGCTGAAAAATTACAAACCCTAGCCAGCAGCACACCCCTTTGCTGCCCACCTTCTGCAGTAAAGATATAGGAGGAGGATGTGAAGAAAATGCCCTGAAGACCTTTCCCTCTGACTATAAATGCAGTTTATCCAAATTAGCTACTAACCTTTTTTTCTTCTCTGACCTTTCTCCTTCCTGCTGCCTCTCTCTCACCTTTCTCTGATGAGTCCCACCTCTCTCAAGAGTTCATTATTTTCAACAGCCTTTGCTGATGCAAGCCAGTGGAGGTCAGTTAAAGAAAAAGCTTGAACATCTTCAAGCAGGGGAGACATTTCCCAGAGAGGCACCAGTGAGCAGAGCATTTAAATTGGACTGGGGCAAGAATTTAACAGGAGCAAAGATTTCAGATTATTGCACGGATTTTAAGAAACAGCCACACCTCTTCAATTTGGTAGTCAGTATTACAGCTCTGAGAGATTTCCTTCTGGAGCTAGACCTCTGAGAAAAATAAGCTATTGGCAGTGGGGGGATAGAAAACAGTAAGCAGCTCTGGGGATTGAGAAGCATGGTGCCATTTAAAAGAAAAGAAGGTAGGGAAAGAAGAGTTCTATTCCACTTTGCAAGTGATTTGTAATGTGTTCTGTTAATCCAGGCTACAATTCTCTCTCTGTAATGGCAGTCCTCAGGGGACATTCAGGCTTGTGTTGATTGCCTTGGTCTTTGGCCAAGTTTGTCATGGTTCAGAGAAGATCCGTTCTTGCTAGTAATTCTTGGGGGCCCAGATCTCCCTGTGGACATGACCCATCTGCAGCACTTCCAGAGGGTTTCTGCACATTAAAATTCTTTGAATGGACTGAATATCAAGACCAGTGCTCAGAGAAAAAACCTTCCTAATCCACACGTCCTTCCACTCAAATGACGCAAGTCCGTGTGCCTGAAGGTGCTCGGTGGCCTGAGGGGCAGGGAGAGAGAGGACAGGGACCTGAGATGGCTGGGCATCTCAGGTGACAGGCAAACATGCTCCCACTCTCCTTCCTTGGGCAAGAGGGACACGAGCTGCTGAGTAACTTAGCCAACAGCATGTGCCTTCATTTTGTAATTTGAGTGGTAGCTATTCCTCACCCCAGTTAATGTGGAATTAGATGAGTCAGAGAGGATGGAAAGTGCTACAAGGGACAGCTTGCTATAGGTCACCTGATTTCTTTGTAATTTTTTATTTTTTTAAAATTACCTGTCCAGATGACGAATTCAACTGGATATTTATTGATGACTTTAATAAGGCATCTAGACCTAGCAAGGTAATCTTACTTATTACAGCATGTCATGTTACAACTTATCATCATAACACTGTAACAAAATGCCAGTGCTGACAGAATTTTAAGAACAGCTTTTTTATGGATGGAGTGGGTTCTCCCCTTGGAATTGGCATGTTGCCACCAAAAAAACTGGGGACAGTAGCAATTTCTGTAGTGCAAGGTCAAAAGTCTCATCAGTAGCTTCTACAGAACCTACTTTTCTTACTCCCACCTACACATGTTTACAAAAGAGGAAACACGGCAGAGTTTGCTCATGTTGAATTTACCCTGTGGGCACGTGTGTGCTTGAAAACTCAGTGCATACAGAAAGGGCTGCTGGGCAACACACTTGCTGTGCTCAATTAAACTTCTGCTTGATCTTTAGATTTAAAGTCTTTTGGTACTAAGGCTTCAGCACAAACTGACAGAAGGAGCTTGCCACTCTGCTGTATACACAATGACACATCTGGGACAGGCTCATGAAAGACACAGCTGGGGAATAACAACTATTTTTGTAGGATTCACTCGGTGGTTGGCATTTCTAGTTGTTATCTAAAATACTTGCACACTTTATTTGCTTCTTTTCCCCAGAGATTTCTGAGCTTTTATGATAGTATGTTTGGTAGGTAAGAACAAAATCTGTTGTTTTGATCAGCCCTGCAGTTCTTTCATTAAAATTACACGTGTCACTGGAACAATTTACAGCACTTTAAAAAGATGATCCAAATGAAACTATGTTAAGTCGTGTTGCTATCAAGCTCAGCAATGTGGGGGAGAAAAATTTTTACTAGAGAGGAAGCCAAAAATAAGACTAAAAGGTATGTGACAAGGAACAGGGGTATGAACATTAAAGAGCCAAATGCCAGGGCCTTGGACAGATGCTGGTTTCCCTGTTGCTCCTACTTGAAAGTGCGAACAAGACAAAGCAAGAAATCTCCCAGAAAACTGGTGAGGTTTTAGGGAGCAGACACCGATGTGAAGTAGTGGCAGCCTGAGTGCTTATCTGAGCTGTGGCCTCTGCCTGTAACAGATGATTCCTGTGTTCTGCACCTTTCCTACAGGAGAGTGGAGGATGGGAACTGTGTGGCGATGGTGCCAGCTCAGTCAGCAAGCCCTCACTTCTCAGGTGGCACACTGGGTATGGGGAGCTTTGCTCTGCATCTATTACAGCTGCTCCTCAAATGTCATCAAGCTCTGCAATGGATTTTTGCCCATGTTTACCCTTCAATGTACAGGGAAATTGAAAGCCTGGTAAAATGGTATTTCCAGCCTTTGCGCAGAGCCTCATCCCATGAAACATCTGCAATGCAGTTAGGATCTTTTCTTTCAGGCAATGCTAAGAGGGAATGCAAAGTCATCCCTGTCATCGTGGTGAGGAATATAAGTGTTTTACAAACAATATCATGGTTCTCTAGCTCCTGCAGACAACAACAGTATCCCCCCACGGGTGACCAAGAATTCTACCTATTTACATGAACTGAGAATAAGGCATGAGATTTTTAACTGTGGTAGAAAGCAATTCAGTTCTCAGAATATAACCTTTCCACATATCTTTAGAGACCTTTCCTTATTATTATTATTTATACCATGAAAGCTGTGATCACATAGGTCAAAAAAACTAAGCCATCTAAAATTGTACAGAAAGGGAATGGTGCTGCTTCACAAGTATGTGAGTTTTTAGAGGGCTTTCTTTACTTCTGGAGATAGGAAATATGTCAGTGCTGAAAGAAAGCTAATCTGCAGTAGCAGGATAGATTGTTCACTGTGTATGTTTGGGCATCTGTAGACATTTATGCCAGCTGCAAAACTGAATGTGTACATCTGAAATGCCTGTTCTTCAGTTTTAAGAGTAAATGACTTTTGAATCAAGCGATGCTGTTTTGTTTGTCCTTTCCTGCCAATACAAGATTGTTTTCTGCACTATACGCTTTTTTGCAAATGCTTGTCTCTATTTGGTTTAAATACCTCAATTGACAACCTCCCTTTCCAGAAAATGTTTAGCTTCCAGTTTTATGAGGGTTTTTTTTTTAATTTTCAAATCAGCATTGCTTTAACTTAGCTTGCTGTAATGGCTACAGAAGCCATTACATTTACAAGAAGCATTGGTCCTTGTAAATGCTGATCTCTATCCTTCACTGCTGAAAACTCCTTCAGTTACAAAGACCAGATCTTCTCTTTTCCTGTTTGAAATGTTACCAGTAGTAGCCTACAAAGTGGTTTCTTTTGCTCTCTGTGGACTTACACCTTGCAACATTGATGATTTCTTTTAAAGATTTTTTTTGTAAGACTTGTTTCACACTCTACTTTTGAAAATGGTGCTGAAGGAAAATGGCACAGTAGGGAGAAAGTTACACTAGTGTCATAATAGGATCAAAGTTGCTTCTCACCTTACGTGTTAATCTTCTCTTAATCTCTCGTTTTTCCTCCTGCTCCTCTTGCTCATTCCGGGCTGTAAAAGATTTACAAGGATCTCAGACTGTGGACTCATCAGGCATGCACAGTTTGCAACAAAATAAGCCTTTCCATCAGTAAGTATATTAATGTTTCAGGACCCCTCTGATGCACAGTATGTCCCTCTGGGGCTGGTGAACGTCCTTGATCCGTAGCTACTGCGCTTCTTCACGCACTTCATAAAACATCTACAGCTTCCTTCCTTTCCCAGTGTTGGCACCCCTTCATGTGTGTCACTTTCTAGAAGGGCTGGGCAGCAAGCCAGCTCTTCAAATAATGTTATCTCCCTGCCCACAGGCCTGGAGGGGGCTTAGCTACAATAGGGTCCAATTCCACAAGGTCAATAGTTGGAAAAGAGACACATGTATCTTTTTCCCATCTGCATAATAATTTCTTGTAGCTACTTTTTGGAGATAATAGAAAAAAATCCTTTGGAATAGAGGTGCCAGGAAAATCATGCAACTTCCCATGGCATGAACAGAGTTTAAGAGAGTGTGTCCTTCCATCATGAGCCTTCAAAGTATCACACTGGAGCACAGAAGCTCATCCTAAGTCAATTAACTTTCAACATTAAGTCAAAAGATCACGTGCTACAAGTCCTTACCAGGGCATGCCTCAACTCTTCTCCCCCAAGAGCTCAATAACATTTGAGTACACTAGCTCTTCTTCAACTTAGGAGCAGGCTGTCATGCATCATCTTTGCATTGACCTTTACCAAAAGTCACTAAAATCCCACGTTTCCAGGTACTCAGCTTCTTGATCAGTTAGGATCTGTCTCCACTGCTTTGCTCATGGCTGAAATGCTCTTTACTCCAGTCATGCCGGCACATAACAAGTGAGAGCAAACACAACTCATCAGCTTTTCCAGTAAGTATTCTGTGCCCCTGCTGGGATCCAGTTTTTGCTCAGCTAGGACTAGCTCAGGCAGGAGTAACTCTCTGCAGGGGACATGATAGACCTCAAAGGCCAGCTGAGGATAGGTGCTTTGATTTAAATTGTTAAAATTTGGACTGCACTAAACTTAAGGGAGCATCCCATGTTCCTCTCTGCTGATCCTGCAGATGGAGCAGGCACCTCCTTCAGAGCAGCAGTAACAATCCACCAGCCATAGCTTCTTCAGCTGTGAGAGCACAAGCCAGCACTCTCACTAGAAAACTGGGCTTTCCCCACACAGAAATGAGACCTTAGTGACCACAGAAGCCTCTGAGCAGGTGAGGAGGGCCAGGTTGGAAACTAGGTTTCTCACTGCTCAGGACAGTAGAGCTGACAGTGTTACCACAACTGCTCACTGACTTTAGCAGGACTTGGAAATCTCCACTGAAGTGGACAAAGAACCTGTCAATGTTATGATGTTTCACACTACACTTCTGATCTTTAAGTGCCATTTTACTAAAAATACTGTTTATGTTTTCAGAAGGAAGGAAACCAGTAGGGGAGTAAAAAGAACATAAGACAGCAGGGAACCACAACCGTCTTTTTAAGCAATCACTGGAGTACCTACACTGATAATCGTAATTTTCCTCTTTCAGTGGTTTCTGTCCCTACTGGGCTGGATACTCTTCTAGCAATTGATCCTCTAGCAATTTTTTTCTTCCCTTTGTGTCTCAAATTTGGAGGAGTTGGTCCTGCAAATGCCTCCTTTCAGACACAGCACTAAAGAGAATCCACACAGAGTCAGGGTAGAACTGCAAGCATCCAAAGAATTAGGCATAAAACTTAGTAATGGCTATTCATTTTTGTCCTTGGCATCTGATGCTTTTTTGTTCTCCCCACTCCAAGCCCAGCCAGGCAGGCTTAAGACTTCAGGCAGGTAAAAGCTGGAAAATAGGAGCACATTCTCCTTCAAAACTAGAAAGTGACTTTGTTTTAGCTATTTCTTTAAGTCATGAAGTTTTTAAGTCTGAAGTTAAGTCATGCCAATCTTGTGAAGCTATAGAACTGATGCTTTATTTTATCTTATGTGTTCAGGCGATTGTCTGTTTCTCTAAAACCTGCGTGTCAGGGCAAGCGGTTGGATGTAGGTGCAATTTTCACACCTGATTTCTGTGCCAGTGTGAAATGTTCCCCAATACAGTTTGAGGCATTCAGAACCCACCAAACCATCATTTTTGTGAGGAATTTATGCAACCCTGAATGCGCCAGGCTGACAGCTGGATTGCTGTTATCCACCTGTGAAGTGGCACAGGGGTGGTGCGTGACAGGGGACTGAGGTATCTTTCCTTATACACTTGGACAGCAAGTAGAGCTGCAAAGTGTTCTTTAGTCTTCAAAGAAACCCTGCAGGCCTGGACTTCTCCCACTACATGCCTTTGACCTAAATATGAGTCAGTGAATGGGGTATACCTCAGTGAAAGACCCTACTAGAACCAGTTGTCTCTGCTCTGCTTCCTTGCTGTGGCTGCTGTGATTTCACTGTTGCTATCAGCAAGTAGCAGAACTTGGCAATGGAGGCTTTGCCCTTGTAAAGATAACTCACAATTATTGCAGTAGCACAGACCAAGGAAGCATTCAATTCATGTATAAGGACTGGCTGCCCAACCACATTTTGCCTCATTTTTTCCCACCAGCGTGGGCAGTAACACAGTTACAGGTGTAATAGGAACATCATGGTACCAGACACGATATTTTCATCAGGGAGATTTCAGCTTTAACTACAGAGAAAATCCTGTTTAGTCTACTCAAGAGCTTGGTAAGTTTTCTTGTGTGTTTGTTCGTGCTCTGAGCTGGGCTTTGGCAAATTGCTTGACCTGCTTATGCAGAGAATTTACACTCTTTTTGTTCTCACTTCCTAAGTCTCTCTTTCCCTACTCTCCATTATATTTATTATAATGCTCTTTCTTAGAACTCTAGAGGAATGGCACAAAATGATGTACAAATCAGAAAATGTTTATATTTACTTGTTTAAGGGTAGGGCATGTTTATGCTTCCTTTTTTAAATTATGTAATTATTTTAATTTTTTTCTTTCCTGCTGTGGTTCACCAAAAGCTGGAAAGCCTTGGAAATACCACATTAGTCTTTCCTGTAATTAGGAAGCTGTTTGTTTATCGAGACACACATGTTTTGGGGCAGATCTGTGCTAAAGCAAGATACAAAAATTCCATTTAGGAAATACAATATGGTTCTGGACTCAGGGTAATATCTTCAAACATCCATGTCATTTAAGAGCCTTTATTCAATTAAAAAAGAAACTGATGTTACTCAAGGGGTAATTCCTCTGAAATGTAAGACATCTTTAGGGCACTCTGTGAGTGCTGAGCTTGGCAACATGTCTTTTATGAATGTCTGCAAGGCACCCAATGTTGGAGATGCTTCTCCCTGCTGATGCTGGTTCAAAGCAGGTGCCCAAGACCCCACCTCCCCCAGTGCCAGGGCACTGTTTGCTGGTCATGCACCAGTGCCAGGTGGTGCCTGATGAGTTTGTACATAGGTCCCAGGATGACAACATGAGCTGCCAGAGAATTGGCCTCTGTCCCTCTGTGCCTGAGCCTGGCATCTGTCACGTCGCAGATCCCCCCTTCTCCCGCTGTTCTGCTATGCCCCTGTGAGACAATCACAGCTGGATGTGCCAAATATTTCCCCAGACTGCCCCTGACTTCCTCCAGCAGCCAGTTACCAGAGCTAGGAGTAGACAGTAGGAGCACAGTTATTAAGAGAGGGCTGGTCCCGAAGAAATGGCTTTTCCAGCAGCCTCAGGCTTGCCCATGCTGCTCTGCTGTCCGGTCTTTTCTCATCTTTGCATTGACAGTGGTGTCTCTCTCTCTCTGTCTGCCACATGTAATAACATCAATAGATGAAAAAACCCTGCTGGGCATTAACACTGTCATTAATCTACTAGGAGTTTGGTTATGAAGATTTTGAAAAATGAATTCTGCTGATTTTCAGATAATTAATCTTCTGCTACCACATTTTTATGGTTCTATACAACGCAGTTATTTGAACAAGAGAAGATGAATTAGGGACCTACCTAAACAGATGTTATGTATAAGGTACTGCTTCGTTATGCATAAGGTACTGTTAGTAAATATGCATTTACTAATTTAAAGGGGAAGAACATTTTTTTTTCTTTTCTATTTCCAAAGTAACAGCAACAATTAGATAAACAGCTTTTTTGTTTTTAATATTCAAAACACTTACATGCAAGTAAAGAAATGGTCATTTTCTTCCTGCTCATTCATGAGGACTGGACTCAGTCCAGCTTCCCTGGAAGTCAGTGGCAATGTATCTACTAACTTCACTTGATTCAGGATTTCTGAATGGTATTTTGTCCCTTTAAAATACCACATGCTGAGGATCTACCAGCAAATTTTTGGCTGATTTGAAGGGAGTGTTTCAGGGGAACATTTTGGGGAAATAACCCTGAGTCAAACTGGATTCTTTTTTAAATTGAATAAAAGCTCCAGCTAGCAGAGATTGCTTGGAAGATTTTTAGGAAAGCTTAATCAACCTATGCCCTACTATCTTTACTAACTTACAATGGGATGCTCACCTATATAAGTGATGCATAAAGGAGGCTTTTCAGGATGCTTGACCTCCTGTTTGGAATGTCAATCAACATGTGGGTTTTTTTTCTCCATAGGTTGTTTATTCTTGTAAATTTACTGACTCTGATCTTAAAGAACCATTTCTGGAGTTCTAGATACTGTTACAGACTTCCACACTTATTTGCACTTATGATGCCCTTTATCAGTGATGCCTACAGAGAATAGTTGATGTTTATAAAAAATACCAAAGTACATGAAATGTAAACCAAATTATCTGGCTTCAGGTTAAATGTCAGCAGAATCAGGACTTACGTTTCAGTATGTTCCTCTGCTCCAACTCCTCAGCGGTCGGCCTCTGGCTCAGTCGTCTGCGAAAAAAGTCCAAGATCAGTTTTTGGACCATATCATATTCTTCTCAGTTCTTTGCCTTGAAGAGTTACTTTGGGGTGTGAAAGGCAGACCAGAAAACACTGACACTGCTCCATTATGTACTTGGTATGCCTGGACCATGCGTGACACACACCATGCTTTGCTTTCGCAGTTTCCTCTGTTTCCAACCCATGAAAGACAAAATACGTTATGTCATAGGCATGACTTTCCCACCCCTACCCCAGGCAGAGCTGCTGAAAGCTAAGCCACACAGATGTCTCCACTTAATTTCCTTCCCTCCATGCCTGCTTCCTGACTTGCACAAGTATTTCTAGCTGGGATCCAGCTAACCCTCTTGCTGCCCTCTCGCCAGCCTCCTGACTGCGCCCTGTTTGTTCACACAGCATTTGAACACGCGGACACAGAAAAAAAACAAGGGACTGTTTGGCAGCAGTGAGGGCAGAACAATAGCAACCCTCGTCCTCCTCATCCCACTCACTTCCCTCCTATTAAATCCTATCTTGAAGGATCAGTGTGACTTGATAGTCAACCTGTATATAATAGGGTCAACAAACCTCACAATCTAATTACAAATGGGGGATCTGTACATAGGAATGACCCAAATATTCAGAATACAGAGCAAGCACAAAAGGGTCTTTGCAAAACAATGTAAACCAGAGAGGTGACATCAGAAGTCAGCACTGTTGGGCATCCTCATACTCTTATCCGAGTCAATGGGAGTTTTGTCAATGATACCAATGACACGACAGAGCCTTCTTTTCCTTCAACTTGGTCACTCAGAGATGGGCCCCAGTCTCTGTCAACTGGTCCAGTTTCCCTGTGAGTTACTGGGTGCTGATAGGCAATGATAAGAATGCTGCATGGCTTCATCTTCTGCGGTGAATGTTCACCCTGCCCTGGGTACAGCAGCTCCCTGAAACAGAGCTGGTTCTGCAAGGCTGCACGAGAGATGCCTGACAATGGCTCCTCACCATACAGGGGATAAGCTGCTGGTGCACATGTGTCCCCAGCCTTCTCCAGAGCCAGGAGCTCATGTGTGTGCCAGTTCAAGACCTTTGCCCCTCACACTGTGTGCAGGGCACAGGGCTGAATGAAGCACAAGCACTGGGTAGGAGCCCACCTCCTACACCAGCTGTTTGAAACTTTACAGGCATCTGATTTTACAGTCTGAAGATTTCCACCAGGAGAGGTGATACCAGCCATATGTCCTTTGGGGGCACTTTACACCCTGAAAACAAACCAGCAGAACACAGCCGTATTACAGTGTAATTTAGAGTCAGGAGCTTTGTCCCTTTCTCATGGCAGATTGAACATTTATCTCGGAAAAGTGTTAAAAGTGACAGAAAATGATCCTTAATTCAGAAGTAAAGAATGTCTGCAAAGTACTTTGAAGACAGAAAGTGCTATTTAAGTGCTTGCTCTTACCATCTTTAAGATAAAGTAGCTGATGCTAATGGGAGACTTCACTTTAGGACTGTAAAGCAATTAAAACTATCTCATTTCTAGCATCACGTAAGAACCAAAAAGAAAAAGTTGCTACTTTTAGCCCCACCACACGTGAGCGCAAGAACTGTATTATAAATGTTTTTAATCCACCATGCCATGATGCTTTTCAAGAGGATGCATGAGAGAGATTCAGGATGAGGTCCAGCATGTGGATGGATTCTACAGAAACAAACATCATAGTAAAAGGAGGAAGAAAAAAAACCCTCCCCAAAAGTCTTCCTGTTTCCAAGAAAACAGGGATTGAAGGACTCAGATAACTGTTCTGTCACAGTTCACACTAGGACATTTCTAACAGAAGAAGTTTTATCTACCCACAGAAGTGATTTCCAACAAGGATCACATCTTCCATGTGTTTAGTGAGGTATCTGCCATGAAGTAGATGCATTTAAACTAAGCTTTCACTGCATGTTACCACGTCATTGCTTCCACACAAGAGGACAGAGATTTCCTCCAAGTATGCTCTTGTTATTATATTACCCTTTACTCCTGTGCTGCTCAGCACCTATAGACTATGGGGTTCTTCCCTACACTCTCTGATAGGGCCCCTAGTGAAAGCCAGGTGAGGATACCCATGTTCCCTATCTAGAGTCACATTAGTTTGAAGATCCCATTATCCGCTCTTTTCAGTCTGCAGAGTGCTCCTGCCTAAATGGTGACTGCCACCTTTAAGTGATACGCAGCAGAAAAAGCCATGCCACTTTGGATAGATTAATTCATGGATTATCAATCACTTTTGGAGTTTTATATTCCCAAGAATTTTTAATAATGTGATTTAGGCAGTAGGAAAAACAGAGCAAAATCTTAATTAGTCCCTACAGTGCAAGTAGTAAAGCAGCACTGGAGGATGAAGAAGGTCATGAATAGAAGCCATGGAGGTTCCTGGTCTCCAGTACCAGTGTCTGCTTTCATCTCCAGGAACTGCTGTTACATTCCCATTTCCATCATCCTTTGGGACTGACTGAGCCTGCTCCTTCATTGTAAGTCCCTCCTTAATGAGCTCTTCAAATAAACCCAGCCCTTCCCATCCACGCTCTCCCAATTACCTTTTTTTATGGTCTCTTGTTAATTTAATTTAATTCCTCCTCATGCTGTTACAGTGACTTCTGCCCCTGAACTATTGGGGCTTTACAAAGACCTCCACCAGCTCCTCAGAACAGCACCATTTTAACTCTTGTTTCTTGCTACCTAATTTCTAGGCTTGCCAGATGTTGAACAGCTGTTAACACCTCTGTTAATCTTTGAAAATCTTGATACTAGTTACAGATAATGTAAATCAAGAAAGGCAAGCAGCTCATGTTTTATTACTATGGCTGCAAAGACACGTTTTTTCCTTTCACACCAAATTTCAGTACACCATCTCCAGCATACAGCTCTGACCTTGGCAAACATCAGCTCCCTTATTCTGCCTTCCTTCCTGTCCTGCCCAGAATAAAAAGCTGTTAATGAAGCCCACCTAGCTTGCAGAGGTTGATTTCAGTAGTTTGATTGCTGGCTTGCTGCTGCGCCTTACTTCATTTAACATCACAGGGGCTGCACGAGGCAGTCAGGAGGCCACAGGTCAGGAAAAAGGTGTCTCATTAGCAGCACAATTGGAATAAACTGGAGAAAATGGAGGTGAGGAAGGATCCTGGTGCTACAGCAAAGAATGGATCTGCATGTGCAAACTGTAAGGATGGAGTGAGAGGTGTGGTGCTGCTTTTGATCAGAAAAGTAACTCCAGCTGTTTCATCAAACTGAGTGCAGGTGTCTAACCAAGGAACAGGGGAGACAGACCTCAACACGTAACCACCTCTAACAGCACTTTCTGTATTTAAAATGTTCATGTGTGAACATGCCTGACCTTCACTGTGCCATCCACACTGTTTTGCAATATGCTTTACGTATTCAAGAGGACGGGAAAGTTTTTGTAATTTGTGCTTTACAATGTATTGTTTGATTTATACTTCATAGGTTTTTGCAATATTGATTACAACAGTTTTGCAAATACACTGTGACAAAGGTTTTACTACAAAGGAAACCTTCCTAAGATTTATGGTTACATAAGGAAAGTCTTGCTAGGATTTCACTGAAAAAATCATATCCAAACGAGATTGTCAGTAAAAAATAAAAAGTTTTCTCACATTTACAAAGAAATTCGACAGCAAACCAATTCTCTGCATGATCAAATGTATTACACTCCTTGTGCTAGACAATAATAGCTGAACAATTCTTCATAAGGACAGTGTACAGTGAGGCTTATTTTGTTGGGTGTTTTATTTTTTTGTTTGTTTGCTTGTTCTTTTGAATTTGCTCTGGGCTGCTCACATTATGGTGGATAAGTAGGAGTTTGGGGCCAGAAGGGACAATCATGCAAAATCAATTGCTGTAGATCTAAAATATTGTCTGGTGCGGGTGCAATCTCCTTCAGGGAACAACAGGAAAGAAAGGCAGCATTTTCACTGATGGATGCTACTGTTTGGAGCCTCTCCAGCAAACCAGGAACTCAGAATGAAAAGTTTCTGCTCCATGTGTCAGTGTTCTGCAGGAGGAATAAAAGGAAAAACATCTCCTTGAGCACAACAGAACACTTAAACGAAGTGCACAGAGATGCTTAGCCTGCTCTGCAGTGTGGCCACTGCCCGAGGGCTCTCAGGACAGCAGCCAACCCACTGGGGGGCCTTGGCTCAGATTTTTGCAGCTCTTTTGTCTGGCAGCACCTTTGAAGCAAGATGCTCCTGGCTGCCTAGGCTGTCCCCTACCAGGAGTCATGGGTTTTCTCTCCTTGATCTCTTGTTTTGCTGTGGATGAGCTCCAAGAAAAAGCTGGTTCATGCCATCCAGCTTGTTGTTATGGGAACAGGATGATGTGGGATATGTGTTTTCTGTGTACTAGGAATTCATCTTTGCCTCTGTCCAGAGGACAAGAAAATTTAAGAGCCTAGTGTAGGGTCATGTGCAAGTATAATGGCTGGATATAATCCAGGGCTTGCTGGAAAATGATTCCTCACACACTTGCCAGGCTTATTAGCTGTGAGTGTTTGCAGACATGAAAGGCAGAACTTAGCAGCTCTCCGGTGCTTGAATGGTGACATCTGGTGTGTGGGACCCACAAACAGGCCTGGTGGACATGACAGGGCACACAGCAGTATGGTGAGATGTCCAGAATATCCCCAAGGCATCTCTGAGCCAAGTCATGCTCACACAGCTGTTCCTCATGACTTAAGTCACCCTGATGTAAAATAACTTCTGAGCACAGTGGGGCATAACCTCTGGAACAACTCCTGAATTTATTCTGTATGTGTAAATATCTTTAATCAGCTGCAACTGGGCTCATACTACCCTAGACATTGCTCTAACAGAGCTGTATATCTGAGCTGGGCACATGAGAAGCCAGCTGCTACGAAGAACTGCTCGTCACATTGCTCTTTAGTTGACATGACTGACGCCAGTAGAACTGTGATGATTTACATCAGCAAAATAATTCCACATGAGGA